CCCGCTACATCTTCAAGTACTGATTTACTACAACAAATCTTAGCAGACATAGTTACTTTTCAAACTATAGGCTAGTTTGGAATCACAGAGTAATAATAGCACTTAGACTTATATACTACCTCATAGTGCTTTATGGCACTCTCTGGGTATAGAGTCACTATATTGCCCTCAACAATCTGGGTCCTCATTTTACTGATCTTGAATCAACTTTGAGCACGTCAGGATCAAACTCCTGGCTGTGGGCAGAGTTAGCCTGCAGTACTGCATTCTAACCATTGTGCCATCAGGGCTTCTAAGTAGAACAGACTATTAGGGATACCAAGTCTGACCTTGCTTCCTGCAGGAATCTGGTCTAATCTTTGTTCTTGATAAAGGGGTCTCCAGTTTCTGACTGAGCAGACCTAATTCAAGTATGTCCCATAAACACTCTGAGATTTAGTTGGAACTATTTAATGAGGTCTTAACCAAAGCTAAAACACCGGCTTCATGGGAAGAAGCTCTCCTTACCACTTTACAATGCCTTAGTAAGGCCACACTTGGAATACTGCATCCAGTTTTGGTCATCACGATGTTAAAAAAGATGCTGAGACTCTAGAAAGAGTACAGAGAAGAGCAACAAAGATGATTAGGGGACTGGAGGCTAAAACATATAAGGAACGGTTGCTGGAATTGGCTATGTCTAGTTTAACGAAGAGAAGGACGAGGGGGGACATGATAGCAGTGTTCCAATATCTCAGGGGCTGCCACAAAGAAGGGAGTCAAGCTATTCTCCAAGGCCCCTGAAGGCAGGACGAGAAGCAACGGGTGGAAACTAATCAAGGAGAGAAGCAACTTAGAACTAAGGAGAAACTTCCTGACAGTTAGAACAATTAACCAATGGAACAACCTGCCTCCAGAAGCGGTGAATGCTTCAACACTGGAAGTTTTTAAGAAGAGACTGGATAGCCATTTGTCTGAAATGGTGTAGGGTTCCTGCCTGAGCAGGGGGTTGGACTCGATGACCTCCAAGTCCCTTCCAACTTTATTATTATTATTATTATTATTATTATTATTATTATTATTATTATTATTATTATTATTATTATTATTATTAAAAACTATAGACCCATTTCATTATTAGACTATAAAATCTTTATGGCTATAATGGCGCAAAGACTTGAAAGATTTCTAGCAGATTTTATACACTCTGATCAAAATGGCTTTTTATCAAAAAGATACATAAGAAATAATGTTAGGATTGTTTTGGATATACTGGAGTATTATGAGGTGCACAATGAAAAGCAAATGAGTTTAATCTTTCTTGATGCACAAAAAGCTTTCGATAATGTGAAATGGGATTTTATGTTTAATCGTCGTATTTGGACTTCGGGGAAAACTTTATAAATATGTTTAAATCAGTCTATTTTAATCAGGCAGCGAAAGTAATAATTAATGGAGAAACGACCGATAGCTTTCCAATTCAAAAAGGTACAAGGCAAGGTTTTCCGTTATTGCCATTGTTGTTTATATTATTTCTAGAGGTATTGATCAGAGTAATTCGAAAAGATAGACAGATCAAAGGTTTAGAGATCAAGAAAGAAACGTTTAAAACGCAAGCTTTTGCAAGCTTTTGCAGACGATTTAGTTTTTATAATTGAAGAGCCATTGCAATCAGGGATAAGATTGATGGAAGTGTTGAGTAAATATGGGGAAATAGCAGGTCTGAAGATAAATAAAGAAAAAACTAAAATGCTCGTCAAAAACATGACTAAAGTACAGAAAAATGAATTGGCTGATAGAATAGGTATTCAAATTACGAATAAAATAAGATATTTAGGGATACAACTAACCGCTAGATGTGTTACACTTAAGAGAGACAATTATGATAAATTAATTGAACAAATTAAAGCTGATTTAGATACTTGGACCAACTTACAGCTCTCCTTCATGGGCAGAATAGCTGTAATTAAAATGAATGTTTATCGAAAATCTGATTTCTGTTTCAGTGTATACCCATAAAATTGGATAAGAAATTTTTTCAAAACTTTAACAAAATTATTCTCAAATTTATTTGGCAACGAAAAAAAGCGAGGATCAAATTAAAATTATTGCAGGATTCGAAGGAGAGGGGGGGACTTGGCCTCCCTGACCTGGAAAAATACTATCAGGCCATAGTTTTAATATGGGTGCGGGATTGGATACTTTTGAAGAACAGGAGATTACTATGTTTGGAAGGTCATGACCTACAAATAGGATGGCATGCTATGCTATGGGACCAGAAATATAGATCACATAAATATTTTCGCAGGCAATATATTAGTCGGGCTTTAATTGATGCATGGGTCAAAACCTAGCAACCGAACTATACTCAAGTCCCTGGCTGGATCTCACCATTAGAAATATATGTATATCCAAAGTTTATTCAATTAGGGAAGATTATAACATATAAAAACGTACTAGATGAGAAAGGGGAATTGAAATCCAGGAAAACTCTTTAAGACGAAGGGATAGAATTAGAATGGTGGGCATACCTTCAATTACAGGCGAGATGTTGGAAAGACAAAAAGGAATTAGGCATAAAAATAGAATTGATAGGGCTGGATAAAATACTATTAGGTACTGAGGATAAAATGATTAAAAAGTTATATCATTTGTTAGATCAGGCAATGTACGAAGAACAGGTAAAAGAAACCATGTTAACGTGGAGCAGGGACTTTGATCTCAACTTTGATCTGCATATCTGGCAAGAACTATGGGCACGAAACAGGAAGCTCACCCTGGCCACATCCTACAAAGAAAACCTTTACAAAATGTTTTATAGATGGCACTTCCCACCCGCAAGACTAGCTAAAATGGACCCAAACTTCTCCCCTATATGCTGGAAATGTAATTTGGCAAGAGGGACATATTATCATATGTGGGAGGAGTGCCCGAAAGCCCGTGACTTTTGGAACAAGGTTAAAAAATGGCTAGAAGAAATACTAATGACAGAGGTAGAGCTAAAACCAGAACTCCTCTTACTAGGTATTACCACGCAGAAATACGATAAAGGGGCACTTTACTTAATGTTACATATCTTCACGGCTGCCAGATTGGCCTACGCACAAAACTGGAGAAATAAAGACATTCCAACAGAAGAAGAGATTCTATATAAAATCTTATCGTGTGCTGATATGGATAGGCTTACTACGGACTATTTTGAAATCTGGGACAAATTTTATTGCTGGTACGAGTCAAGGAGAACTGTTCGGGCTTTAAGTTAGTGTTAAGATTGTGGTATATAAAACTGTATGCTAGTATATAGAGAAACAAATTTGAGACTGTATTGTATAGGAAAATATGTATATATAGAGATTAGGAATTATAAGTATGACAAGGAACAAATTGTTAGGATTATATATACTGGAACGACACGTTAGGTCATTTTTTGTTTTAACTGTTTTATTAATAAAAAACTTAAAAAAAAAACACACTCTGAGATTTAGCCAGACAGGCATATGTGGGAAAATCCAGACCTTCCCTTTCTACAGGGTGAATACCCAGGGTGGGGCTCAGGAGGAGATAGAAAGCAGGTTTAAAATTTTAAACTATGTCTACTTTAATGAAAAGAAGGACTAGGGGTAACATGATAGCAGTGTTCCAATATCTCAGGTTGCCACAAAGAAGAGGGAGTCAAGCTATTCTCCAAAGCACCTGAAGGCAGGACAAGAAGCAATGGATTAATCAAGGAGAGAAGCAGCTTAGAACTAAGGAGAAATTTCCTGACAGTTAGAACGATTAATTAGTGGAACAATCTGCCTCCAGAAGTTGTGAATACTCCAACACTGGAGGTTTTTAAGAAGAGATTGGACAACTATTTGTCTGAAATAGTATAGGGCAGTGATGGCAAACCTTTTAGAGACTGAGTGCCCAAAAATTGGGCCCGCCCCCATTCCACCCCCTGCCCTGCCCCCGCTCCGCCCCATCCCGCCTGCCTACAGGGCCACTCACCACCTCCAGGGCCCGCCGCAGATCGCCCAGCAGTGCCATGGCGGCCACGGCCTCTGCCCGCGCCTCGCAGCATCAACTGTGCGTGATGGGGTGTGAGGGTAGAGTCTTGTCTACGCTGCCTGGCTGCCATGTCCTTGGCTGCGCTGCTCTGCGTGGGCCACACTCAGGGGCGAGTCTCCTTCAGGGGGGCTGCTGGAGAGGAGGGGGTCATGGGGGGAGGCAAGGCTGGGGCAACGGCACGTGTGCCCTCAGAGAGGGCTCCGAGTGCCGCCTCTGGCACCCATGCCATAGGTTCGCCACCACTGGTATAGGGTTTTCTGCCTGAGCAGAAGGTTGGACTAGAAGACCTCCAAGGTCCCTTCCAACTCTATTGTTGTTGTTGTTGTTGTTGTTGTTATATTTGCCACCTTGAAACAGATTTTTTGCTCATTTGTGTGTAAAGAGAGTAAGAAAGAGGATTAATTCTAAAAAAATCAGCTTTCATTTGAACTCAAAGTAAATTATTAATATTAATTTGCTGCTTGATCGTTTTGAGAAGAAAGATGCAATGATTAAAGATAGATCTTCCTTCTTACCTTTTTTTGCTTTATCCAATATGTATTAAAATAAATTATTCAACACAAAACATATTCAGTTCTTGTTGTTTCTTTGCTATAATGAATTTAATACACATTGAAAACTTATCTTAGAATCTGTGAAAGACTTTTGTGATGAGAATGAATTATATAAGGAGATACCATAAAGTGAGAAATTTATTCCTTTTAGTTCATTGTATTAAACTGTGTCTGGCTATAACAACTGGCACAAGCTCTTCCCTAAGTGATTATCCATATCATCCATATTATCCATAAGTTGGATGTTCGGGCTGCATGTGAAATATGAATTGTTTCTTACCTCTTGTTGGTCTCTGATTCCCCCCCCCCCCTCATTTGTGAAAACCAAGATTTCTTATGCAATATTAAAAATCCAAGCATTTTTAGCCACATCCAGAGTAGCATTTCCAACTCTTGCTTTTCTTTTTTCTGACCTAGACATTTTTTGGCAATGTAAATTCTAGTGGTGTGGTCAGCCATGACCTACATTACCCCATTTTGGCTCGCTATCTCCGGATCATTCCTGTGGCTTGGAACCCACAGGGCACTATTGGCTTACGAGTAGGCCTTTATGGATGCTACTATGGTAAGTGATTCTGCTGAGAATAATGTCCTTTAGCTGAAGTTTGGAAACAAAAAATGGCTGGAAATATGGAAGGTGTAAGGCAAAAGTTATTCTCACCCCTCCCTTTTCATGAAAAGTGAAATAAGAGGGATGGAAGTGGAATTTGAAGTGCTTTTTTTCTGTTTACATCACTTAGGGAGAGAGTAGCTAAAAATAATATATGAAACAGATGAGTCTTTTATGGCAGAAATGCAAAAATATCTTTAGATAAATTATTGAGACACCTTTTCAGCCTTTCGTTTTGAAGCAAAATTATGATTGCCAGATTTATTTTGCCATTTTTCTTCTTAAACTCTGAGAGTGAAAAAAGAGGATGGAAAGAACTTGTTTTCAAGTTGTATTTTTCCAAGAGGGTGTTTTGGTCAGAGTGAGACCAGGTAAGATGGGGAGCAACTGGAACTCGGGAAATTGTGTTGCATTGTGAAGAACAGGGAAAACTTGATCCCTGACCTCAGCCTCTTCAGAAGTTTCAGACATGCAAGCTTAGCATTCGTCTTATTTGGGATTGTGCTGGTTATGATGAGCTGGTGGTCACTTGGGAAAAGGACTTGACTTGTGATAACTGTATATTGGTTCTTTCCTGCAGATTCTGAAATCTTATATTTTGATGGGGATGATGCCATTTCTTACCAGTTTCGCAGCAAAAAAGTTCGTTCCACTGAAGACATCATTGGGTTCAACTTCAAAACAATGGAACGTGAGGGCATCCTAATGTATGCAGCAGGATCTCAGGGAGATTACATCAGTGTGGAACTGCAGCAAGCCCAGCTGGTTCTGAGCATAAGTCTTGGTGAGATCAGAAGGAAGAAGCATGTGCTTGGTAGCTGCCAGGATTCTTTGTTAATATGTCAGAGAAGAAGGAAAAATGTTGATATAATTGATAAGCAAGTCAGAAGAGAAACAATCACCTTTCTTTCAAGTTTGAATTGAGGCGAAATGTGCTTCTGAAATGTGGCATATATCTCTATCCCAAGCAGTAAGGAGTTTTAGAGCCACATTTCTGGGGGTTGGGATGGGTGAAGTCATGGGAACTGTGCATTGTTTTATTATACCAGCTGCAAATTACAGTCAAGCAGACTTCAGAACCAATGAACATACCCACCAAATCTATAACTTGTCTCCGAAAATGCAGTTACATCCCACCTTTATTTTATTTACTGCTAATTCTCTGTTTTGCAGTATGTCAGTTTCTAAATTAAGATTTTAATACTTTTAAAGACTCATTTTCTTCCTCTTAAACACTTTTCCATCTTTTCTTTGCTCTCATGCACTCCAAGTATACTGGAGCTGTATCAGGATTGTGACTTCCAGAATTTCCAATCAGCTGTTTCATTTGGAAACTTTGATATTTTGGGGAGTACCAATATATCTGAAAGACCCATGTTGAGAAGATTCAGTGTAAAGATTCAAAGTAAAGGCAGGATAGACCTCAAAGCACATTTCACTCTTCATCATTCCATTGAAATCAATATTCAAAACAATAAGTTAAAAATCTGAATAAGTAGGCTATGATTTTATTGATCGTATTTAAAGGACAGAGGGTGTACGGAAACTTGGTGGATGAAACCCACAATTGGAACACACAGCTAGAGGGATTCAAATTATTTAAAAGAAACAGACCAAATAAAAGAGGAGGTGGAGTTGCTCTCTATATAAAAAATAACTACATCTCTACAGAAATAGAGCACAACAATGATGAAAACTGTCTTGAATGCATTTGGGTCAATATAAAAGGAGAAAAAATGACATTGCCATAGGTGTATACTATAGGCCACCTAACCAAATAGAAGTAATAGATGAACTTTTTGCTAGTCAGTTAACTAAGGTATGTAGGAAGCACATCATAAGAGTAATGGGGGATTTTAATTACCCTGACATCAACTAGGAGACAAACTCTGCACCAAGCGGAAGATCAAACAGATTCCTGACAAACCTAGCAGACAACTTTGCCTTCCAAAAAGTAGAGAAGGGAACTAGGGGATCAGCCATGTTGGACTTAATTCTCACTAACAGAGATGAAATGATAGAAGGTGTTGAAACCACAGGAACCTTGGGGGGGGAGTGACCATGCAATATTGGAATTCAACATTATGCAAGCACAAGCAATAGGACACAGTCAAACTAGAGTGTTGGACTTTAAGAGAGTTAATTTCAACAAACGTAGACAACTTGGGAAGGATTCCATGGATGAGAATCCTCAAGGGAAAAACAACTCAAGAAGCTTGGGAAATTTTAAAAAGTGAGATTATAAAAGCCCAGTCTAGCACAATACCAACGAAGAAGAAAAATAACAGCTCTCAAAAGAAACCAGCATGGCTGCATAAAGGACTCTCTGATAAATTGAAAGACAAAAAGGACAAGTATAAAAAGTGGAAAGAAGGGCACATAACTAAGGCAGAATATCAGCAAATAGCCCGAGCCTGCAAAGATGAAGTGAGGAAAGCTAAGGCTCAAAATGTACTAAGGCTTGCAACAAAAGTAAAAAAATAACAAAAAAAAATCCTTCTTTCAACATGTAAAAAACAAGAAAACAGATAAGGAAATGATTGGTCTATTAGTGGGAGAAAGTGGCAAGAAGGTGACAAGCGTTGGAGAAAGCAGTACTACTCAACTCGTTTTTTGCATCCATATATACATAAAGGGAAAAAGTAGTCCAACCTATCAAAAACAATACCGTAAAAAACAGATTAGAAACACAAGTTAAGATAGGCAAGAAAATGGTAAGTGAGCACCTGTTCACCCTAGATAATAACAATAACAATAACAATAATAATGATGTTGGAAGGGATCGTGGAGATCATCTAGTCCAACCCCCTGCTCAGGCAGGAAACCCTATACCATTTCAGACAAATGGCTGTCCAGTCTCTTCTTAAAAACTTCCTGTGTTGGAGCATTCACAGCCTCTGGAGGCAGGTTGTTGATTAATTGTTCTAACTGTCAGACAATTTCCACTTAGTTCTAGGTTGCTTCTCTCTTTGATTAGTTTCCATCTGTTGCTTCTTGTCCTGCCTTCAGGTGTTTTTGGAGAATAGCTTGACTCCCTCTTCTTTGTGTCAGCCCCTGAGATATTGGAACACTGCTATCATGTCCCCCCTCATCCTTCTCTTCATTAGACTAGACACCCAATTCCAGCAACCGTTCCTTATATGTTTTAGTCTCCAGTCCCCTGATCATCTTTGTTGCTCTTCTCTGTACTCTTTATAGAGTCTCAACATCTTTTTTACATCGTGGTGACCAAAACTGGATGCAGTATTCCAAGTGTGGCCTTACCAAGGCATTGTAAAGTGGTATTAACACTTCACGTGATCTTGATTCTACCCCTCTGTCAATGCAACCTGTGTTGGCTTTTTTGGCAGCTGCAGCACACTGCTGGCTCATATTTAAGTGATTGTCCACTAGGACTCCCAAGATCCCTCTCACAGTTGCTACTATTGAGCAAGGTACCACCTATACTCTACCTGTGCATTTGATTTTTCTTACCTAAATGTAGAACCTTACTTTTTTTCACCATTGAATTTCATTTTGTTAGATAGTGCCCAATGTTCAAGTCTGTCAAGATCCTTCTGTATCTTAAGCCTATCTTCTGGAGTGTTGGCTATTCCTGCCAGCTTGGTGTCGTCTGCAAATTTGATGAGTTCCCCATCTATCCCCTCATCCAAATCATTGATGAAGACGTTGAAGAGCACTGGGCCCAGAACAGAGCCCTGGGGCACCCCACTACACACTTCCCTGCATGTAGATGCAGTTCCATTGAGGACCGCATGCTGAGTACGGCCAGTCAGCCAGCTATGAATCCATCTGGTGGTGATGCTGTCTAACCCACATTTTTCTATCTTATCAAATAGTAGGTTGTGGTCTACTTTATCAAATGCCTTACTGAAGTCCAAGTAAATTATATCCATAGCATTCCTCTGGTCCACTAATTTTGTCACCTGATCAAAGAATGCAATAAGATTTGTCTGGCATGATCTGTTTTTGACAAACCCATGTTGGCTTTTGGTAATGACTTTGTTTGCCTCTAGGTGTTCGCTGATTCGTTTCTTGATTATCTTTTCCAAAATCTTCCCAGGTATTGAGGTCAGGCTGATAGGTCTGTAGTTTCCTGGATCCATTTTTTTCCTTTTTTGAAGATGAGAACTACATCAGCTCTTTTCCAGTCCTCTGGTAAATTCCCCAGTGCTCCAGGATCTTTCAAAGATACAGTTCAGTGGTTCTGAGATCACATCTGCCAGTTCCTTCAGAACTTTGGGGTGTAGTCCATCTGGTCCTGGTGATTTGAACTTATCTAGGGTGGACAGGTGCTCACTTACCATTTTCTTGCCTATCTTAACTTGTGTTTCTAATCTGTTTTTTACGGTATTGTTTTTGATAGGTTGGACTACTTTTTCCCTTTATGCATATATGGATGCAAAAAACGAATTGAGTAGTACTGCTTTCTCCAATGCTTGTCACCTTCTTGCCACTTTCTCCCACTAATAGACCAATCATTTCCTTATCTGTTTTCTTGTTTTTTACATGTTGAAAGAAGGATTTTTTTTGTTATTTTTTCCTTTTGTTGCAAGCCTTAGTACATTTTGAGCCTTAGCTTTCCTCACTTCATCTTTGCAGGCTCAGGCTATTTGCTGATATTCTGCCTTAGTTATGTGCCCTTCTTTCCACTTTTTATACTTGTCCTTTTTTTCTTTCAATTTATCAGAGAGTCCTTTATGATATTTCTTGCAGCTCTTCCAATGCACTATTGTTGCTACTTTGTCATGCCGCTGCTTGTAGTCAGTCTGGCGATCTTCTTATAGCAGCTTACCAGGTGGTCCACTGTTTCTTCAGCGTGTTTGCATAGGTGGCATCTACTGTCTGCTGCTGTCTTCTCAATTTTGACTTTATATGCATTTGTCCTTAAGGCTTGGTCTTGTGCAGCCAGAATTAGTCCCTCAATTTTCCTGCTCTTAGCCATTGCCAGGTCTTGTTATTATCTGCTTTCCCAGCTATTTTTTTAACGTACTGGCCATGTAGTGCTTTGTCTTCCCATGCCTTTATTCTGTTCTTCCCATGCCTCTATTCTGTTCTTCTTGTAGGCCAGTTTGGTCTCTCCAGTAGTCAGTAAGCCTTCCTAATATACTAATTTCAGTACATCTTCATCACTGTCCTTCAGATATTCTTCCAAAGGCATTTTTCTTCTTCAACCATCTGATGTACTTGCAGCATTCCATGCCCACCTATTTGCCTTGGTAGATAAAGTCTGTCAATGTCACTTCGTGGATGAAGGAAATGATTCATTGTCATTCTTCTTCTCGTCTTCCTATCCACTGCTTTTAGTTCTGCTTGAGTTCAGTCCACTATTCCAGCTGTGTATCTAATGACTGGAATTGCCAAGGTGTTGATTGCTTTTATGGTATTTCCTCCATTGAGTTTGGACTTTAAGATCTTCTTCACTCTCTTTTTTTTTAAAGAAAATTTTATTAATTTTTATAATTGAACATTAAGTAATATGATGCATTTATAACACAAACATACACAAAAAAAAACAATCCAATTCAATACATTATCAGAAA